ATGAGTTTTATTGCTACGGCCTTTGTACTGGTATCAAAGCATGAGCACAAAATGTAAGCAGTGTCTTAATGGATCACAAAACGAGAGAGACAGTGATGGAAATCAGAGACATTGCCAGAAAGAGAACCTGTACATATAGGTGTGATGTTATTTTATCCATTATTGGAAAAGATTGCTTCTACCGCAAATTTATATTTGATACGGTCTTTTTCGACAGAGTGTTATTTTTTTTAGAAATGTATGGGTCTTTCTATAAATTTTGTGTTCATTTTTGTGTGCAAATTTAGAACACAATTTCTTTAATTTCCAAGAGTGATAAAGTTGTATAATGCAAATTGCCTGCCAAACAAATAAACACTGTTTGAAGTCAATTTCAGTGTTATTTTCCCATCAAATTCTACAAGTAAGTTTTCTGAGATGGCACACATTTTGGACCCACAGTGTATACATGTTAGAATGCTCCACACAAACTACATGTAGGCCAAACAAACCTGGGTTTTGGGGTGTTTTTTTTTTTATAAGAGTGCCTCTTTAAAAAAAATTCTGCTGTTTTTTGTGGATGTACCTGTCACTCGAATCTATTTGAACAACAAGATTAGGGCCAATGGAGTTTAATCCAGCAATACTCGGTTCAGATAAAGTCCGGGGGATGGTAATCTTACTTCAGGGTACAGAATTTAACCTGTCAGGTGGGAAGCGATAACTCAGGATGAAGAATTCACAGCGACAAACAAGGGAATGTTATCCTCGGACATAGTGAGAGAGAGGAACTGAAACTTAGTGTAAACTGAGCTGAATTAGGGGATCTATGTGTATATTTAGTTGTCTGAGATGGATAAAGCCATCCAAATCTGTGCCACCTTCTGTGTGGGTGGGGGATTTTGTGTCTTTCATCCCTGTGTGGTTTCTTTCAGACTTGTTTGTCACAGTTGCCAGAAAAGTACTTTGTTGTCAGACTGCTTGAAGAACCAGTTCTGCGCGGAAGAAACTCTCTATAGTCTATGCAACTACATTGTGAAGCCCATCGCTGCCAGTTCACAGACTGTGTACATATCTGTTCTAATTTTGGCATGAGATAGCTATAGGGTCTTGCAAGTTCACCAACATGGTATTGACTTTGTTTACAGGTTCAACCCCCCTTCCCCACCAAGTTTAAACCTAAGAAGAAGAGACATTTTAGTGGGAAACTGTTTCAAATGGACACACTACATGCATGTAGCTGTGACGTGTGAGGGAAATAGAGTTTGTATATGTACTCTTGTGTGCTCTGCACCTACATATACATGTATGTGCTGTCATGGACTTGCAGGTTCAAGCAACGTCTTGCCCCACAGCTAGAAAGCCAGTGGTGTGCTTTCCATTGGTAAGATTATGACCTCCTTGCCATTTCTTGACGACGATTAAGAGATGGAAGTCAGTTTTATTTCAGTTTAGACACTGTCCAAAGTGCTTGGCTGCGGCTTGAAATTTCACACGAGTCTATGATCGTGGCTGCAGCCACTTTCCCATTGGATCAAGCATAACTTCCAGCCCCAACAAAGTGATTTGTACACAGTCCCACTTGCAATCTAAACCTACCTTCTCTTACACCTTCTCTTGGGATTTGAATACCCCTTGCAAGAACTTGGCGAGAATTGATTTCATGTCATTCTGTCTTCTCATCTCCCGCACTACGATGGAGGTGCGTGTCCATGTACACGTGCACGTATGCTGGGTGTTTGCCTTCTGTGTTTGCCAAATAACACCTGTCTTACATCTAGACCCCAGGGAAATCAGAAAAGGGTTTGGCAGTGGCCTGCATTAAATACAAAAATCCTCATCAAATTGAAACCTACCAAAACAGTGCACTCAACCTGGAATTTCCAATTTCAGTTTTGTATTCTCAGATTTTATTTTAGTACAGGGGTGTAACTGGGGTGTAATCAAGTGTAGAAGAAATAATTCCCTCGGTAAAAGCAACTATGTCCATGGGTGACAAAAAAGCCCACCTTTTGAGGGAAACCATGGAAACTGCTGAAAGAAAACGTTATTTTCCCCAAGTTGAGATTTGTCTTCGAGGCGCATTAATTGTCTTAGTGATGCAGCCAACATAAATTCTGCATGAGTTGTCAAAAGATGGTGGAATACAGACTTGTGTCAAAGCTCTTGGAAACCTGTTTTTCTGTCTGAAGCATGCTGAATGTGATATATTAAGCTTAAGAACATCTCTTAAGAAGATGATGGACATGTGATATTGCCTGGTGGAATTCTGTACCCTATGGGTCTTGTATTAAGTTGCATCCAAGCTTTATCATCGGCAGACAGTGAATAATTCTCTCTGATTAAAGACCTGTCATTTGAGAGCTCACACTCCACTTGTTTCTGGGCAAGTTTAATGCAGACTAAAAGATTCATGTGTATTTGGAAATGAGATCCTCTTTCACCTGACATACCTTGGTTTATCAGGTATTAGATATATAGGGAATGGGTTTGTGTCTCGACATGTTTTCAAGAATGTGCTAAAATGATGATGTCTTTTTTAGATCTGGTTGGCCTGTACGCAGCAGTAGAAACCTCCATCATTCATCACACAAGGATATTAGCACCTCTATGTCATGAAATGAACGTTAGTTTGCACAGGTTGTTGTTATGGTGCAGTGTTTCTGCTTTGTGGTACACAACTCCTTAAAATTGGTCCCAGTGCGGTGTGCTGGTCTCCCCCAGGGCCAAGTTCTAAATTGAGAGGATGTGAGAAGTGCGTAGGCAAGAAGTAGAAGGAAAACCCTTTGAGAACAATTAAGGATGTGCATGCTTACGAGAAGGCTGAAATGCAGGACTTCCGCACGTTGTTCAAGAGAGGAATCAAACCAGGATCAACAGAGTGAAACAATGGCAACGTCCGGATCACTTGGCTAAGGCCAGACACAGCCTGTACACGTAAGGGAGCTATGTAGCGGCTTCATACATTTCCCACAGAGACATGTATTACATTTATATCTAACCGTAGCCAAGTAATTTGAACATAGGCTATGTCTTTTTTTCAATCCGACTCCCTGTTACTGGGCCCAGACACGTTTACCTCAAAAGGAGGAGGCATTGAATTGACTGCTATGCACTGAGTTATTCCCCTTCAACTGGATCATACAGTCAGAGGCTGCATCCGAATCTGTTGTCTAGAGCTACATGTAGGTCTAGGTCTTCCCTCCATTGGAAATGTGTGGAGACGCGTAGACAGCAAACCAAGCCGTAGCTCTGGAAGCCCGTTTCGGACACGGCCAGAAGTTCTTACTACAGTGAGTAAGGCTCCGGCAATTACCTGTAGGCCCCTAGTGTCTTTGCATATTCATCATATGTGATTTGTGTGCCCTTTTTTATGGATTTCAGAATGCTGGCCCCAAAACTGTGGATTTTTAGGTGCAAAATTATTCCTGTCTTGGTATTTTGTGGCGCTAAATACAGTGCCAAAAAACAAAAGAGTCCCATACTACAGTACATGTAGTGCAATGTAATCAAGCGTTTACAAGAGAACTCTTCCCTCATTTGGTTTTAAAGTACATGTGAAAGTCCCAGCACTTTCCTTTTGCTATTGTTATAGCACCCTCTGCTGGATAATATTTTTTGGATAATGTTTCTTCATTCCGCAATCTCAGCTTGCCTCATTCATCTTGGCAAGACACTTTCCTCAACATTGCTCGCTGGCACCTGACTGGGCATCCATCAGTGTTAATCTGAGCTCACATGTTATACTGGAGCATTCCATCGCTTGGATGCTTAATTTTTAATGCTGAATTTGCCCTAACCATTCACCCGTGCCATTACAAACCTCCTAGTCAAGCATGAACAGTTCTGTTTACTTAAGCAATAGTGAAATGTTATGTACACTCCGTAGAACTTTAGCAGAAAAGAAACTATCATATCCTTGCAGATCACTACACAGTTTCTTACGGAAACCAAAGCACAAGTTGTCAATCAGAAATTACATCCAAAGAATACTTTCCCTTTGCAGGGAATCACAGAAAGATGAGATGTTTTTACATCTGGCTTCAAGTTTCAAGTAATCTCAGTGCCTCAGGTATCAGACTGTTGGAAATGAGACCCTTTTTGAGTAAAATCCCAACGAAGGACACTCTCAGCGGCAATGTCAACAATAGACTGAAATGTCACACTGCCTTCAGCTTTCATAATGACTGGGGGTTCTGTTCCTTGTTTTTTTTCAACGAGCTGAGACTACATGTAGCTACTGGTCGCTAATCCCACCCATTTTACATCTTATACTGCTTCACATTTTAGATAAAAAAAAAGTGGACAGTTGTGAGGGCGTACCAGTTTTTATGACATCCTCGTAATGCCCTGTAGCAAGCATGTTAAGTGCCATCAACTACTATAGTCATAAAGTTTATTTTTGACCGTTTATTTTGGCATTCTTATTTAGGTTCGTTAAGTTCTTCCAGTCCAGAATTTTTCAAGTTTAGTTTAGATAACATTGGCACCATGTGTATTTTAAGTTTTCCTGTCAGCCTGTATACCTAAAATTTCTGGGAAAACGTCGATAGGGGTGTGAGAATTCAGGTTTTTAGCTTATGTTAGCTTTTTTAAATTTAAAACTTGACCCTGATTTTTAGCTTTTTTGTACAACTGGTCTGTACAAAAGTATTGGAATTTTTAACATTTCAGCTTTCTGGTAGCTGTGTTCAGCTTTGATTTTAACTGGCTACTCATACCACTGTGTTGAACCCATCATTTGCATTGTTTCCAAGGTAAACAGGTTGAATTAAACTAAATATGCTTGTATGGCCGTAGTCTTTGTTTAAGATACATTTTCAGCAAGGTAAACATTTTAAGGCCCCATATTCACATTTCAGTGGTGTTACCAACTTTGAGAGAAATTCCGCTAAGGAGCAAACTGAATTTCAGCATTTATTTCAGGCAGTTGGGGTTGTTTAAGTAGTTTGCTGCTCTGCTTATCCGGTTAAAAAAATGTAAGATAAAAAAACCTTTTTTTTTTTTTTTTTAATTTACAGAGGAATCGGCAGTTGATGGAAGGAATCCTTGCTCCAAATCCACTCTCTGTGCCTTCCATTGTCAGCACAGCAGCGGCCAGTCAGCCGAATCGTACGTTGAAACTTCTAAAACACTTTAAGAGCCTGAAGTTTCAGTATTGGAGAAGAATTCAGTGGATATGGCTAGCCTTGTAACATTTATGATTTGTGTATTTCAGCCAGGAGCAATCAAAGGCAGGGGCCGAGCCCTCGGCTCTTCACATTTTCAACTGGGATACTTCCTCCACGCACTCACACGCACAAACATTTACTTTTGGCAGGTCCTATATATAATGGGGTGGGGCTTAATGGATCGGTCTATGAATGACCAATGCCAGATGGTCTCATATCTTGCCCCCCCCTTCCCACATTGAAAATATCGGGTGCAGCAAGTAATAAGGTAAAGGTCGATGGGGAGCTACGGTCAAAACTTCCAGTCACAATCTCAGATTCACAGATTTGTGGTTGAGTCCGTCGCATGACCAACAGTGCATACATGTACATGTGACTGCTCATGAACAATAGCATAGAAATACCAGCGTCACAGCTCGTTTCAACAAGTTTACCAGCAACTTCTCCTTTGACTTGATTACAGCATTGCGTATTTACAAAACATGTTTATTTTAAAGTTCCATGTGTGACATTTAGAACTTTTTCCATAAACTTGTACCTTTAAACTCATTACTGGTTGGCACTCAAACAAACCAGCTCTCCACAAGCTTGGGAATAAATGTTTGATTATTGTGATTTTGCAGAGAGCATTACCAATCGAGGTATCGGCAGTCACCACCAGTTGTACTCCCGATCAGGAAGCATGTCTGGTCCGGTGAGTCCATTTTGAGAACTCTGGCACACAGGTACACCCATAAGACAGCTTTACTTGAAACTCAGTGTACTGTATGTGATCAGGTCACAAAGAAAACAAAATATCCGAAGAGTGTTTCACTGCTGTGATTGTTGGAGATTTCTGTAGGTTTTGGGGCTTAAATTTCAAATTGGATTCCTGGGACACAAACAGTACTATAACCCAAGAGACCTTATACATGTACCTCTAGATGCCAGTAATCCATGTGAAAATAACTGTCTGACAGACCTCCTGTATGGAAAGAGACTTGTTGCCAGATCTCGGAGCTATCATTGTTCCCTAATCTGGGTCAGCTCCCAGCGTGTAACCTCCCGAGATTGACATATCCTGCCATTCGCCCTGTTCCGGACAAAGCAGGCAGACAGGTCTGCTATCTGGTTTTAAATTCTCATTTCTTCACAATTCACTCAAATCTCATCTATAAAGCTCTCCTAAAGTCAAAATTGAAGACAGATGATTCCCTTAGGATGCCCGGATTGAATCTGTCTAATTTGCGCCAGTTTGAACAGTCACTGAACTGTTCAAAATTGTAAATTGGATAACAGAACACTTCTTTTTTGGGTGTTTCACATCCCATTGTCAGGGGAAACTGTCATCGATGTGATGATAAATTTATCCTTGGCAGTCTATTGTAGTGGGTATGGCAGTCTCCCAGTTCATTACCAAACAACTTTTTTTCCCGAAAAATGGCATTAAATGTCATGGAAATTGTTATGTACAGGTATTAGTCCTGGAAAGTCGGGGAAAAGTCATGGAATTTGGTATTCAGATTTCTGGTGGAACCTTGACAAGCCAAAACTGTTGTCTTCTGGGTCTGTTGATTGTCGGGCAACACTTGTGCGGCCACATGTAATTTTCACACTGCAATGATACAAGACGTTGAATGATGTGACATTGGTCACAGAGGTGGTGCCCTTTAGGTGTCTTATTGCTGCCAGGCATGGACAAGAGAGGGTGTTTTACGTGTGCATGTACTATCAAGCATGAGGTCCACACAATGCAAGCTCCTTCTGGGTTATACACACTTATGGTGGGGAGTTTCATACCTGTGACACGTATATATCCGTGTACATAAGCACAGTGCATTTTCTTCGAAGGTGTGATGAGTCGTATGTTAGATCGTTTTGCACAGTAGGGGACTGTGAAATTGAACAAAACTGATATGTGTTGTTTCATTTTGACTAAAACATGTACATGCACCATAAGGTTAACTTGAAGCAAACTGCAGTTTGAAAACACTTTGGCCGTGCCCATCCATTTACTTCACGTATTCCCGTTCATGTCACTGCCCTGTTTCACACCATGCCCAACAAAATGTTAGACCTGCAATGTACCTGTACTTTCCAATACTGATTTTTTTCCTAATTCTTTTCCATCTTGTCAAATCTTGTGTCCCCCTTTTTACTCTCAACTGTCAGGCCTTTCAATCTGTTCTCATCCCTCCTAATTCCTTTCGACAAACTAGAAAAAAAGAAGTAGGTACATGTATGCACGCCTTGTGACTGTATCTCACGCTAAATTCCCCAGCCTCCCCCCTCCCACTGTCAGGAAAAACCTGACACGAGCACTCCGTGTCACGTACGTAACCGGGGGGCTCAGATTCGACGCGGATTCATTTGGTCACAGCATCGCGAGCAAAGCAGGCATCAGAGTGAGCTTCTGTCTCCAGGTAAATGTCACTCTCGCTGCAATAAACCCATTTCAAAGTAGTTTTAAAGGCGCCTCTAGGGTTCTTTCTGAACCTTTTCTCTCTCCATTTTTTTCAATCCACCCTAGTATGCCGTGTGTGCATTTTGTGATTTCTAACTTTAATCCTTGAATTAGTTACTGTGATTTAGATAAACACCAAGTGCAAACACGTAGATATCTTCTTCCAATGTTTTCTTAATAACTGCGTGTTGATTTTTCATTTTCATTAAATGCAATTTATATTAAAACAAATGATAATGAAAAAAGTGAATAGACTAAATTTAACCGTGAGTATGTTTTCAATAATGTTTTTACAAGTACATGTATCATAACTAATCATGATCTTGCATACATGTAATTTTGCCGAAACGCTACCACCCAAACTATGCACCACAGATCTTGACTGTCAAAGTGCTTTATATGTCAGGAATAGAAGCATCATGTTTACCAATGAGGACAATTGTTTTTGTGGTTGGCTGGAATTCCCAGTGACTTCAGGAGAGACAGTGTTGTGGCAGGAACAGCCCAAATTATTTTTTTCCCCAGACCCTGAGATCACTTCTCTTGAATTGTGTACAAAGATTCTGACACCTCCGGCTAAAAGGAGAAATAGGAGTATCATAAAAGCAAAATTTTAGTCTGGCTCGGTCGCTCCTTGGTCCTTCCCATTTCTTTTATTCTTTTGAGACACAACGAAACAGGAACCGCTTGCGGGTGTACATCAGCGCAGTTCCAGATTGCCCAGCTGCTGTTGTGCAGCCGAGCTCATTCTGTGATTTCCCAGAAGGCCTTTGTGCCAGTTTTTGCTTAGTAAATTGCATGGGGGTAACCCAAGCCATGTGGGTTTTTTTTTTTTTTTTTGCTTTGCTTATCATTTTTGTCGCTGGCAAGGGCATTGTGCATCTGTGCCTCACTGGCTGTGTACTCAGTCGATAATATTGTGGAGTATTCTGTGTTTAAAGGTAAGGTATGTCTCTGGCATGGAAGAGGAAATTATGTGGCCTTGTGGTTCGGGTTTGTAGCTTCTGATGATAGGGTCGGGGGTTCGAATCCAACTGGCAGCAGTATGTTGTGATATCGGCAAGTCACTTCACCCCTTCATGCTTCTTTCCACCCAGGAGTAAATGGGTACCTGTGACCGCAGATTATTATGTTGAGTCGTTTGCACCTCATATGGCAGCATTGGGTTAGTACACTCCCCAGGAAGCAGAGATAGTTTTGGGAATGTTCAGATGTTGTGAGCCCAATTGCTTTTTTTGCACTACATAAATACAATTATTATTATTAAAGTTAGAACCTGTTCAATTACATGTACATGTAAAAGGGGAGCCAGCCTCATTTTGGGGGGGGGCTTGAAAGGATTCCCATAAATACTGCAGCAGAACTTGCATCAAAAGGTACAGTTTTGCAAAGCGCCGACCATCAGTGGCTTAACGGCAAAGTTACACCTGTAATTTGACTTGGCAGAAAATGAGCAGACTCAAAAAACATTTTGTGAGGGAGGATACCAAGCGAGCGGGAGGTTGATTTGAGCCCCCGAACCTAGGTGGATTTTTTCCTGGGATATACATGTACATGTAGTTTCTAAAAGAGAGCCTGGTCTCCAAGGTTATAGTCCCCATTGTCCACCACCAGGACCACCGGTACCTCCACTGGTCGATTCACCCCCGTCCCCATCAATGCCCTGATAAACACTCTTGCCACTACTGGTACCTTCTCTCAGCTGTTATAGTTGCCACACCACACACCCAGTTACAGCTGCCTTCATCGCTTACCAGTACCCCATATGTACCCACCAAGTATGCCCATAGCCACCAATGTTTTATAATCAAGTCCTGTCCCATCTGTACCCCAAACTAATCCCATCTCATCACTGCCCAATATCTGTGCCCACTGCCACCCTTCCCATCTGTACATACATGTATCACCACTCGTGTTAATACCCGGCTGTATTTATCCCACCTTCACCCAGAACCAATTCCAAACATTATTTCCTTCTGAAATCTGTCCATTTTCAGCACCATCGGTAATATTTACTTGTCTTTCATCTATGTGCATGTGTATTGGTCGACAATAGACGTACCAAGAGGTGTTCAAAGAAGCTATAAGCTGTGAGTTGTGAGAGTTACACCATTACATGTACATGTACTTACCCCTGTACCAATGGTACTAGTCAGAAGGATGTACATGTATGCACATGTACATTACCCCTGTACTAGTATCAATTGTAATTTATTCATTGAACCAGAAATAGTTTCCAATCTAAAATTTCTCCCTGGAGGTTTTTTTTTTTTTTACGTCCACTTCTCAAATTAAAGGTGAACCTTCCTGAATCATGCATAATGCAGTATTTCAGGCAGTCAACGTACTCGTACATGTACATTATCGCGGCAAAAGGCAATTAGCTAAAACGCCCCAATGTAGTTTGCTTTTTTGGCGGAAAAACTCAGGGGATATCGTGTTTGTTTTACACTCGTTGGGTGAGAGCCAATTAATGCAGGTTTGGGGAAAATGACTGCAGTCAGATAGTAACAAAGTGCACTTTTTATATGAGTTCATTCAGTTGCCAAGACTTATTGTCCGGAAGAGCAGGGCCAGAAAGTGACGATCTGTAAACAGCTACAGGCAAAACAAAAATACATGTAATAAGGAAAAAGTTTGTACTGCTTGAAGCAAATCACAGAGAAGCCACCAAAGACAAAATTAAGATTTAGAGGCCTGTACAACAAAGTGGTGGTCACATAGGGTGCCTTTTAGATCAAAACAGTTTCGAATCACGTGACCCAAATAACCACTGACACTTTCTAAACGTCAAGCACATCACAAGCTTATGGCTTCATTAATCAAGGCACGGGAACTGATTGATGAGTGCCGAAGATTGAACGCCGAGCAAAGGTGTTTGCAGACACTGAATGCTGCAACGCGCAGGCTTTTGAAGAAGCCATGTGTGACGTTTTCCAGTTGAGTACTTGCAGAAAGCGCAGCCTTCTAAGTACACGCAATGTGTAATGCTTTTAAAGGGAAAGTGCTTTGCCCATACAAATACAGGTCGTATATCCAGTGTTGTTTTTTTCAAATGATAGTAGAAAAGGAATTTTACCCAGCGTTTCCACTGGAAAGTGGAACTTTGGTGATGCTGTTAGTGACCTTATTATCATGGGTAACTCTTAGATGGAAAGAGGTTTTTGGAAAAACAAGACAGTCGAATCATAAATATATCCTGCTTGTTACCATTACATGTACATGTAATTCCACTTCCATATTTTCGGCAAAATTTCTCATTGTGAGGTCGCTAACAGCATGACCGAATTTCACGTAGAGTTGCCCTGTGTCGGTAGAAGTGCACAATATGTAAGTTATTATAGAATACATACAGATGCACAGCCTAAAGCTGGGTGAATAGAAGTTCTAACATGAGCGTTTCACTATAGTGCACCTCCAGGAGTTGGCAACACGTTGACCAATCACGATGCGCGAAATCTGTCGACCCTTTCCAAACGCGCATTGGGTGGACAGATTTCGCCCACTGTGATTGGTCAACGCATTGCAAACTCTTGGAGGCTGCACTATTGTCACGTCCAAATCCTTTCATTTTCATTGTTTTCATTCCTGATAATACAAGGTTCCTGTTATAACAGGTAATTTGCAACGTCCAAAGGACCTTTTATTAACGAGGTTCGACTGTACAGTCAAAAAGTGCCAGTAAGAGTGGGTAGGTATGCATCGCGTTAAGGGGATGTGTTCTTGCCTGAAGGGGATGTGTTCTTGCCTGAAGGGGATGTGTTCTTGCGTTAAGGGGACAAGTTCTTTTGTTAGGTAAATTTGGACCGAGTTGTCGGGATATTTTCTTTGTCCTCATAATGTTTTTGGTCGACCAAACTTGGTGAAATATCGAGTGTATCCATCCCACAACTACGGTGCAGGAATGAGTGAACAGCGGTACATGTGCATGGGTAGGACATTGTTACTCTTGTAGACCCGCATTGTTGCAAACCAGGTACAAAATTCATAATATCTTATGCATTAATATTCTGTAATTCTGTTCCCCACCCCCCCTTTAGGATTCGTCAAAACGAACACATGAGGGTGCGGCACCTATTCATCCAGCCCTTCCCATTGTTAAGGTAAGCAAACTTTTGGGATGACATACATGTACGTTGGTAATCCTCCCATGCAGGCCCCCTTTGCAAGCTCCTCCCCTTCCCATGTGAAGCTGCTGATGACAGACTCTCTGTGCATATAGTCACCGATATGATGTGGCTTTAGTTCTCAACTGTCTGTGCTGTGTCAACGAGAACACACAAAGCCAAAGGATTGCTCTCTGAGGTGCTCGTTAAGCTTAATATATGTAATCATGTAAGTGAAAATGGTTAGTTTTCAGTGAAAACAGCTATGCTGCCTCCATCATATTATTAAGGCCAGAGAAAAATGGAAGGAGATCAGTGCACGTTGGTTTCCTTATTTGAGGGTTTGGCAGCAATCAAACGACAGCAATATACTCTACTATTCCTAAAGGGCCAACCCACCTTTCAGTCGTGAAATTTATCAAAGCTGGAGATAAGCAGCAGTTTGAGATCCCTTCCTTCCCCCTCCTGCATGCCCCCCCCTCGTCTTTCTTCTCACGATCAATATAGTACAGCGTCATCGCATGCTTTGGGGAAACAGCTCCCGATCTATCTTTAGACTAATTCCATTTAGATCCAGCAGGAGAATACTGGTTACTCCTACAAAGTAAACACCTTCTGCTTGCCGAGGGGTTGAATTTCGTCTTCTGTTTCCTGGGATTTTTCCTTTCTTTGTTTCTCGTTGTCTTTCGGGGGCATTTTTTGTGGGGAGGGGTTAGTCATGGGTGTTAATTTTTTATTATGCTTTCATACCAATATTTGTAGTTTTCTGGTGTTTTGTCTCTGTGTCCCTTTTCCTTTTTCCAATACGTTCTGAAATAGAAAATGTAACAGAAATATGCCCTCTTGCATTTTTTCCTCATCCTTCTAAAGTTTGTAAATTGCCCTGTATTTGATTAGCGCTTGACCTTAAAAGCTTTTAACTGGGATCCATTTGTACCAAATTGCTCTGTTGTAATTAAGAACATGGCAAGTGCCTGGGCTCTGGAACTCTCGTTTTCCATCCCTCAGAAAAAAAAATAATGAAAGCTCTGTGGGGGACAGGAAAATCGAGAGTTTTAAAGTGGGCAATTTCATCTTGGCGTACATAGATGGAATCAAATCTAGATAAATTGATTGGCCATTTACTGGCTCAGTTTAAGGAAGACGCCCCATCTCAGGGGAAGGTAAAATCTTTTTAAGTTTGTATTTGCGGTCCTTGGGCACCAGGCAGTAATTGTCTCATTTCATATAGCTGATTGAATGTGCAGCCAGGTAAATAAAAAATTCCGTTTCCAGGGGTACTGCTAAAATGTTTTGACCAAATGGAATGTTTTATGAGCTGTGTGTTGGAGCACCAATTTATGTAGGAACACTTTACACGAAAAAATGAAAGTGTTGAATAGGCAACTTTGTAAATTTCTACTCGAGCGTGTGGCCTTCCCACTTGAGTTGAGCAGATGAGATTTACAAAAAAAAAACCATGTGTACATGTACTTAATTCAAATACTAATTGGGTTTCCATTACAGTATAATAGAAGAAAGATGTTATTTGACCCAAAATTATTACAATTAGCTATATGCTGACGACAAAGTGTTCGGGAGGTGATATGCATACTGATATTGGAATTTGTTCTACTGAGTACATGTATTTGAGTGTTGTTTATATCTTTGTGCAGAGTAATGTCTTTTACGGGGCAAAAATCTGTTTTTGAACGCTATTTTGACGTCAGGCTGGTAAAATCAAATCAAAAGGTCAAACTTGGTACGCTATCGAATTTGTGTAAGAGCAGTGTTGCAGCAGACCCTTCAGATGTGATATTTGGGGATGGCGGATGACACAGACGTTTCATTTCATCAGTGAATTCTGTGATTATGTTTGAGTAAACATCGGAAAACCTGTGCCCAGAATTGTCAGGACAAATTGCAGTTCACTGAGATGTACCAGTACATGTTGCTGCAGTTAATGTAATACATGTACATGTCAGGTTGCAAAATCAAGCAGGGAGCAAATGAAATGAAAAAAAATTTGGCGATATATGTTTGAAGCAGTGTTTTGTTTGAGCCAACTTTGGTGTGAATTTGATTTCCGTCATTTTCTTTGAACAGAAAAAAAAACAGCAAAATATCAGGTGTGTATCGTAAGTCGAATGCCGCATGGCAGCTTATGTTACTTTTTGATTGTGTGCATTTATATGTATTTGATGAGATTTCCCAAAAGTGAAAATTGGGATGTGTGTATGCTCCCATTTTTGGGAAACCGAATTGAAGGGATGTACCGGTAGCCGTGAGGTAATTTCTATGATTGGTCAAGAGGATACAAAACCATTGCTGGAGTACATCACTCGATCGAGTCACCCATCCCCATGAGAAAAAAATCACAGATATTGAAGAAATGGGGAACATCCCTGCCTAAGGATTCTGATGAAGAAATGTACATTTGGCTGTTGAGTGGAATTAAAGAAGGATGATTTGGAGATTGTTTGATGGGTCAAAAATTTCAGAAGGGTTGTTTGGCATTACTGACTGTTGGACACACAAGACTGAAATGTATGTTGGTCATAGATTTCCTGCTGCCAAATTCCCAAGTTCAAACATTTTATTGGCACATTGAAATAGAGATACAATCAAAACAAAAATAATTGTAAATGTTAAAAAGTTTTGCAGGAAGTAACTGATTGATTGAAAACAATGTTTAAAAGCATTTAAAAAAGACTTCCGTATCTCTCTAAAATGACGTCAACTCCAACAGATTGTCAAGTGCATCAGCATTTTGGCTTCAATTGTCGTGACACTTATCGGTTGTGTCATATTTCAAATAGATTTGGATCAGCATGGACTCGAGATCCGAACATTTTGCACACGGCGTGCACATGCACCTGTCCGTGCTGTATACGCAGTTGAAATTTTCCTACAAAGAGGCATTCAATGAGAGAGATCTGCATGTACACGTATGTGTAGCTTGTCATGAACAAAATCATTCAGTCCTTTTACATAGAAAAAATATTTTGGGGGATCTCTTTATATTCCTCAAGATACCAATTGGTACATTGTATGGTGTACATGTACATTTCTCAAGTTCCATGTACATTGTATACTGTACTCTGAACCTGACTTGACCAGTTGAAGATACAGTTCGTACATGTACATACACTTTTCAGCCTTCTCATCTGGGCTTGTCCTTTCCACCCTAGACCCCATCAGAGCGGCTGAGCAGGGCGGGCTTCGTTCTGCGCACCATTCTCCTGACCCGCTCCCCGCAGATGATCCGGGACCGCAAGTACCACCTGCGCACCTACCGGCGCTGCCTGGTGGGCTCAGAGATGGTGGACTGGCTGATCCAGCAGAGCCCCATGACGCTGGTCCACTCACGCCAGCAGGCCGTGGGGATGTGGCAGGCCCTCCTAGAGGAGGGCGTCATCACGCACGGTAGGTTAAAAAAAAAATGGACACGTGAAAATCTTGCCCATTTGATATTGTAACTCTCACGGGAATGATTTGTAATATTTTCTGGAAGAAGTTGAAATAATGCACAGTACAGTGTACATACATGGAATGGACTTGCAAGGATCTTTTCCATCTCTTAGTCGTGTAATTTTACACCAATAATCATCTTTAATTTTGTGCCATAAGTAACTTCTTTTTTTTTTCATTGAAGAGTGTTAAAGCGCATTGCTTTTTTGGACAAATAGTTGAACTATATAATTAATGAATGATTTGAGCCAAGAGTGTGATCTTTTTTGACAGTAGTGTGTTCCTTTCAGCAGCATGCATTCTTGACAAAAAAGGAACAGTTGGTCAAGCCACTAGTATTTTACCCTCAAAATGTTCACTCAAATTTGGCAATAAAAAGACTGATAATTCTAACTTAAACCATGTTCTTATGCATCCATGTATGTTACCTCCATGTACTTTTTTCTGTGTGGGGACATGAAATTTGTGCGTTTTTTTTTCCCTCACAATTCTCCAGTGTGTCGAGAGCACCCCTTTAAGGACAAATATTTATTCTACCGTTTCCGCGACGATGACATGGGCATCGGCAGCCAGCCCGGTAACGCCGAGAAGAAAGAGGCAGAGGATGAGTTCCAAGACACGCTGGTCATCTTGGCGCAGATCGGCCCGGACGCCATGATGAGGATGATACTGCGAAAACCGTAAGTTGTTCCAAGGTGTTGACGAGTGTACAGTATCCGCAATTGAAAGCTTCTGTTCAACAGGCTCAGTCAAAGGTTCGGACAGAATGTATTACCATTTGAATCTACCTTGATATTGTTACTGATATTGCAAGTCCAACTCATCAGTCAGTCGCAATATGGTTACATAGTGAAAATCTGATTTCCAACCCCTCCACCAAGAAGGGTCAAATCGATGGACAAGTGGCATCATTGCTGGCGGCCAAGTGACCCGATGCAAATGTATATATGCGGTACATGACCTGATGATATCGTGGTTGTAAAAATGTGGGGCTAACATTTTGAAGCTTTTCATTTGAGAAAGTGGGCTTCTCATGTATGGACAAATCTCGCATTATGAAACCCTGAGCCCAATAGTATAACATCCCCAGTCGATTATATTTCTAGAAGTACTCGGTACATGTACATGTGGATAAGGACATGATCAAATGAGGCTGTAAGTTTTGGAAGGTTTTGCTGTGGTTATAGCCATAACCTGTACTCCTGTGGAGTTGGCAAGGCTACAGCTGTTTCACATAGACGTGCATGCCACATCTAGCCACAGCCAAGACCTCCAGATGTAGTCTCACTCGCACCTAGTTAGACTACATAACCTGCGACGTGTTGCTTGTCTTGAATCCTTAGAGGCATTCGCCACCAAAACACATCTCCTTTTATACACTGTGACATCAACATGAAACCAGAACTAGATATACACACATATTTAAAATCAAGCAGGGTGCTCAGGTCAATATGCCGTCAGGGTTCAACATGCATCGCGCAATGTGTTCGGTAAAAAGTGTCATTCACATCGAACTTAGTGCTGTAATGCACATGTCCGAAGGTACGTGTACATGTCTAACTATTTTCGTATGAATAGGCACAAATGTGTAGAGTGTGTTGTGACATAAATGTAGCGCATGTTTCTGATGCATACCTATGCAATTGTCTTCCATAGACTCTGCCTGCTCTTTCACGAAATGTCAGGAAAATCTCTAGTACATGTGCGGTATGGTAAAATGTTTTGATAGTTGAAATCACATGACATTATGTATCATTTCAGCTTCCTCTCCCAGAGCCAAAAGGACCAAAGTACCAGTCAATAGAGCATAAAAATGTTTGTCAAAGTTCAGCCCTTGCATAGATGTACTCTACAGAGAGTCATTGCACCAAGATAATGGGAGCTGCTCAAGATAGTTGTCATGGTTGTTGCAGTTTATGTATATTTACAAACAATGCATGCCCAAACAAAAATATACATTCATAACACATCTACATCTAACAATCATAAACATTCAGTACAAGCCTCTTTTCATATTTATCAAAGTTCAAGAATAAAACTTTACTTTGAATGGGTGCCTTCAAAACTTTACTGATGTTATCTCCTCCTGTTCAAGGGGATGATCTTTTAAGTGGACTGTGCTTGGTTTTGTCCTCGTAATGGCTCACTTACAAAGTAATGGGTTTCTGCGTAACGAGGCACACATGTACAGCAGTTGACTCCCTTTTAATGTCAACCTGTGGAAGGGAATGTGCTTTCAAGCCATTCATGTCAGCCCTGGGACAGTGTTTTACAAACTCTTGTGTGTTTTATATGCCAATGTGTAAATTCCACATGAGTGATGGTTGCTTCAAGTGAACATGTTCCATGTACACATAAGATTCGATGTGTCCATGAAAATGGGAGGTTTTGGATGCCATGATTACATGTATAATGGGATGTACAAGAAGTGACCATACTATAAGCACCTTTTTCAGCGTATGCACAATCTTGGCTTCTTGTCTGTTCATCCCACTTCAAGGGGAAAGGGATTGGGTGAGGGCATTGACTGCAAAATGGGCAAGTTCTTCCAATTATAAAACAATGATGCACAACAAAGTTTTTGTACACATTCAGTGGAACATATTTGGTCGCATACACCGTGTGTTCATTTTGGGCATAAGGCACATCACATTTCCAAGCACACTTTAAAGCAGTTAATTAATAATTACTGTCGTTTTCTTGAAAAATTGTTGGAAATTTTTGGAGTGTATAAACTTTCAAAGTGGAATGATTGACGCATCCTTGTCTTCATGCTTTTATGCGGATTCTTTTTCCCTGCTTACTCATACCTAGCTTCTGCTAAATTGCCAACTATTGTCACTACTCCTTGCATTATGCTATTCTTGCATTCTTACCAAGCTTTTCAGTTTTTGCTATGCTGCAACTTTTTTTTAAATAAGATTCATTTCGATCAGATAGTTTGAACTTGTTTTTTTCTTCATTTCATTCACTTCTAGTACCTCCAAAGTTTACTTATCCTTAAAATTTTCAGAATTTCTGATTTTGGCATCATGCCTGCGGAAGGCCTTTAGACCAGAACAAAGGCAATCATTGACTCTGTCAGAACCTGCCCTAAATTCAGTTAACATGCTAACTGCTGGCTTGGTACTGGTTTTCATTTTTGTAGAGAAGTGTGCACTGATTTTGCTGTTTCCATTTTCAAGCTTTTTAATATATTAATTCACTGCATGCTGGACACCATGTTCTCGACATCAAAACTTTGCCTTTGTTTTTTCCTCTTTGTTTTTTGTCTGACCTTTGACCTGCGACCCATCCACAACCTGTGACCAGCACACCTATGAGAGCATGGGGGTATGAGTAAGTATGGTTGCCTTGGAAACATGCAGATGACGTGTAGCTGGCCAATCATGTGTTTGTGTTGCATCCGTGCATGCCTAGTGTGCACATACACTTGAAACCGGTAGTTAACATCAGTTCAGTACCCTCCCTGACCTTTTTTTTTCCTTTTTACAAGTGTGCACAAGGTTGTTTCAAACGCATTTGTTCAGCTTCATTTTGTGACCATTTTTAACTTGCCTGAACTTATTCAGAAATATTTGCCCAACTTGTCTGCTATGATGGTTTGGAGAAAAAAATGGAATTGTTTTCTGTCAAAAACCTTTTGATCTTAACATAACAAACCAAACAGCGTCAGTGCGCACACTTTTACTTTTGTGTTACAAACATATAACCTCTGGTTTTACCCATGTTGGCATGAATTTCCATCTCTCTAATCTGCAGATTTGAAGAGTAGTTTCTTCCACATTTTTGATTGATTTTGCTACTTTTTTTTCACAAGTCATAGGAGCAAAATTAGGTTTCACATGTAGTTCAAGGCTCATGTGGCCACCTATTAGTTTTTATTCGTATCTTTCAATTTCTGGGAGTTATTTCCCTTTCTTGCATGTTGCATCAATGCTTGTTACAACCATATCCATTTTTTGCATAGATCCCAGTAGCTGTAGATAGCATTTACACTAGCTCCGCCAAAACAGTTCATTTGGCAAACTTTTTTAAAACTTACTTGTCTTAAGTTAATACTCGTATCTTAACATGTAGGTTTGAGTGTAAGTTTGTACATGTGTATTTGTAGGTTGAGGGACATGTATGTTTCTTTGCTGTTTATTTTTTATGGCATTGATGATACATGTTTTGTGTCTCAAGCTTTTCTTGAGACTTTGCTCCTATTGGCAACCATGCTGGTCTTTTACCTCGGCTATGGAGTCACAGCGATTCATGCTGCTTTGCACAATTAAGGCACCAGTCTAATTTTTCAAGGATGGCTCACTTCATTTCCTTCATTAGAAACCTCCAAAAACTCCAAACACTTTAATTTAATGGGGAAGCAGTTCTGTTTCCCTTTTTGGGGAACCCATGATGTTGCACGGCAGTTAATTTTGTTCATCTTAGTTTGATTTCATAAATTGTGTCCATCTGCTCCATCTTGTTCTGCCATTATTTCAGTGGATGACACAGTGGTTTGTCTCCTTCCCAGAAAGCTTTCATCTGAATCTAGTTCATATATCGGGTATCCTATCCCACCTCTTTTGGAAATGGCATTTCAGTTAATTTTGCTATTACTAGGGGTTCATACATGTATCTCATACAGCAATCTTTTATTTTGTCAGAAACAAACATTTTATGGACAATACCGTACCTTACAACTGTCTGTTTGCTTCTGATTACCCTCATCAATTGAATTTGCTCTTAATATTACCCAGACAAATATTTGTGGAACATTAATGGTGGCTTTGAAGAGCATCACGATTGTGACTTTCTCATATTGTGCACAATATGGCACTTTGTCAAGAATTTGTTAACTTTTTTTTGGTGATGTCTTTTCTGTTGTGAATATTTTCGGCGGCTGTGTGTCACTGTGTACAAGAATGTGTGATGATGTTAAAATTAATTTGTCAAATCCTTGTGGTCAAGCACAGCTGTTGGCTTCTATCTGAAGCTGCTGTAGTTAGCATAATATAATCATATACACATACGGGGTAACAAGCCCTCCACCAACTCGGGCCAAATCTAGCTGATTTTTTTTTTGGGGGGGGAAGAGAAAGCTGCAACCTGTTGACTGTTTGTTTTGAGATGGTCATTACTGATAATCTGCCCCCTCCTGCCTTTATTCGCTTGACTACCCCTCTTCCGTCTCCTGGCCCCACCCTCTCCTCCAACCTTTGAACCCCCCTCCCCTTCAGCCGACCCCCTTGGCTGCTGGAGTTGGCTAGACGTCTTCAGCAGACCGATGTTCTGAACAGGTAGTCATGGAAACCTCTGCAACCTCCTCGATTTCTTCAATCACTTTCTTTCCCCTCCATTTATTTTCCAGAAACCACCCCCCTTCTTTTGTTCTAGTTGTGAATCCGCATTTCTTTTTAGCCATAGGAAGGTTTACATGCACACAAGATCATGCTGCAAATGTGGGAACTGTACTACTTGGACAAGAAGATACAATGAATTTGGGAAAAACATTTCAGCTTAATTTTTCATGCAACTGCACATTCACATGACGATGAATGAAAGTAAATCCAGACTCATCAGATTTCAACTCCATTCTATGGACTTCTGAATCAATCATTTGCACTGTTGCCAGATGCAAAAAAACATCCAGATAAATTCTTTTCATCTGTGAATACATCAGCTTCAAAAAGATACAAAACCGATCGCTATGTGTGCCGATGGGGACTTTACATTGTACATTCCATCATATCTCCAGATATCAACATTTCATTTCAAAAAGAATTTAAATTGTTCAGTGAAGAAAACAATTTAAAAGATGGATTGGCTTCCTCCCTGTGTTATATAAAGTTGTCATTTATTGGCTGTTGCACCTGGACTCTTCATTTGTAATATTTGTCATTAAAAGGACAAATTTAACAATTGATTTCTTCCTACATTCCTTTAGGACAACTGACATTGAAATTCTAATCTTCCCCTGTTTGTGTTAAGTTTATCTGTCTACCTGTCACATTTCTGTTGTACAAGTCAAATTTTAAAAGTATCTGTACTCAGTCTTCTGTTTATCGTTCTAATCATAAATGTACAGTCTGATGACTTTTCAAGATTATTAGATTTGTGTGTACTATATAATTTTGGAAAATCTTGTAATGTATGTAATTCATTGATTTTGAGATGTATGGGTACAGGTGTATGTGTAGTTAAAACCTAATTTTTTTTTAATTTTGTTTTTCATGTGTAATAACTCTATTTTTAAAATAATTAATTTTTTTTCAGAATATTGCACAAATTACTATCTCATTGTCAGTGTCTTGCATACAGAGTCGTGCATGTGTATGTTTTTGTACATGTTGAAATAGATTCCAAGTACCACTTGCTTGCAAAACGGGATGTCATCTGCAACGGTTACCAGCCCATTCCAAATACATGTACATGTATACAGCCTGCATGCGCATTGGGTGAAAAAAAGACAAGTTGTAGTTATGAGAAAATGTAATGAACTTTGATCATAGTGCAACAAAATATAACTCACAAATCCGTACTTTAAGTACTCTCCCTGGAGAGGTGGATGTACGAGCTCAACATTGAACTTTTTTCTTTCTGAAATCAGTTTTTTTCCCACTGCATTTTGGGTCTGATGAGTGAATTCTTTTTGTACACGGAGAGCTAGAGTGACAGTCATGTCAGCATGTCTGTTATTGACAACAGAGTGACATCTGGCATTTTGGGGTCGGAGCATGCATGTAGTTCCTAGGGAAACGTCACAACACCCAATAATTAAATGAACCGCATTCACTTGATATCAAATTCAGATGGGTCTTTTAAACATGGCTCCGTAGAAATTAGAAACCCTAGGAGAGGTTGATGTTGAAATCTCATGTGATTATTCACTCAGTGACATTAATTCCGCCCTCTTTTGCCCCAGAATCCGTACCAAAAAGACCTCAGAAGGTTTTTGTGATTGGAGAAAATGGCAGACACATACAGATGAAAAAGTTCGACTTCATTCACACAGTTCAAGAAAAATATAAAGTGTTATGAATTGAGCAGAATGGCGTAACATGTATGAATTGTGGACATATGTAAGATAAACTTGTTTTCAATGTCTTCCTGTGTTGGGTTTTTTTTTTACTTCTTATTTATCATTTTAGATAATTGACTTATCATTTGTGACCCACTCTGTGAAAATGAGTCTTAAGTCGCCAGAGCCACTTTTTTGAGTTTTCATTTGTACTAGAAAGAGCAAATTGAGTTTTTTTGTTTTGACGGACCTCTCAGTTTGGCATCCTCATGAAAGTGGATACTCCATGGTGACAAATGTTGTGCGTTCCTATTGAGTTACACTGTGTTAAGACTCATTTTCGCAGAGTGGGTCACATTTCATTTTTGTTCATAAATTTTGGGGGTTATTTTTGTCATTTCTCAATATTATCCTGTTTGTGAAACAGGATTCTTAAACTTTTAGATCCACTTGGACACTACCACTGTTTCATGTGTGGGTGTCTCAAGTCAACTTTTTTTTTCATTTCTCACTGTTTGTTAAACCTGTTCATGTAGAGCCATGGAACGGTCGGTGGATGATTTGGAGATCATATATGAGGAGTTGCTCCACATCAAAGCGTTGGCACATTTATCGACAATGGTCAAACGAGAGCTTGCAAGCGTGCTGGTGTTTGAGACGCACCAGAAAGCGGGAACAGTCTGTAAGTAGCAGTAACAATTTGCAAACAGATCCTAAGTCAGGATTTTAACCATTGGGTTAGCACTCAGACTAACCAAACAAACTATTCAGCCATGTAAGCGGTCTCCCAATCGTGCTTTTTCAAGAATAAAAGTTTGGAAGAATTAAACTCCATTGAGCTCCATTTTTCAGCGACAAATACATTTCAGAGTTTGGAATATTTTGATTTTGTCTCAAAGTAAAGTTTCTAAACTGATTGTGGAAATTAAAATAAAGTAAAGATGACGGGAAAATCTAAAATCAATTTTTTTGGGGGGGGGGACAACTTTTTGGGAAGGTGAGAAATCTGGAAATTACTTTGTATAAAGCTTTATGGCCTTTCTGAGTGGTCAGGCTAGATTTGGGGGCTTTTCACACACTTTGGGAAAGGAGAGAATTGATGAAGTCCCAAACAGTTTTTTTCTCAAGTTACAAAACCAAAATTGGTAAAAGACAGCAACTGAGCCAACATTTAGGAAACATTCGTCATAATGGTAGAGTTCAAGATGGAGCCATGAATACAGTGCACTTGTATTGCCAGTGTTATCCAACCCCGAGCTGAAGTGCACCCCCAATCAGCGAAAGAAACACAGGTGGTTACAAGCAGGTTCTTGCATGCGTTCTGCATGTATGCAAAGACCATACATGCCGGAATAAACTAGTTACATGTACTTGTGTGCCTCATGGCGCCCCTATGCTGTGAGTACCAAAAAAACATGCCCTCTTTTGTTACGCTCGGAGCGGATTACTGTACGGCTTGTTTCCTCGACAGTATTCAACCAGGGGGACGAGGGCAAGTCATGGTACATCATCCTCAAGGGCTCAGTCAACGTGGTCATCTACGGCAAGGGCGTGGTCTGCACGCTGCACGAGGGTGACGACTTCGGAAAGCTGGCGCTCGTCAACGATTCACCGCGGGCGGCGTCGATCGTGCTGCGGGAAGACAACTGTCACCTGCTGAGGGTGGACAAGGACGACTTCAACC